AATTCCAAAGTTTCCTAAATGAGGTTTTCATGTAATTGGACTGTTAGGCTAGTTAAGTGGCAGGTCATATGTTCATATTTACTGCTAGTTCATGTGCAAACAAGATGGACAGGGAGAAGGAAAGTCTTGTTCATCTTCCCCCTCAGTGGTTTATCTCTCCTGATGTATACTTCACTGTGCTAGTTCCTGGACAAAATGGAAATTTTAAAATTAGATAATAAGCAGGGCATGGTGGCACACACTTTTACAAACCCCAGCACTCCAGAGGCAGAGGCAGGTGGATATCTGAGTTAAGGCTAGCCTACTCTACAAAGTGAGTTTTAGGACAGCCAGGTCTCTACATAGAGAAACCCTGTCTCAAAATTTTTGAATGCCTGTTTTGTGGGAGGTGTCATTGGAAAGGCAGATGAGCTCTGAGAGTGCTTATGACCTCATAAAGAGCCCGGGGCCAGTTCATTAGCAGTGGGGCTTGAGATTGCAGGACTGGATGCAGTTAAGCTTGCACTGTCACCATGTCCTGTAGCTGAATGTTTGAGTCTACTCCACTTCATTACCTATCCAGAGTATGTGGAGCCTTATCCTTTTTTTTTTTTTTTTTTTTTTTTTTTAATATTGTATATATGAGTGTCCTATCTGCATGTACACCTCCATGGCAGAAGAGGGCATCGGATCACATAGATGTTTGTGAGCTATCATGTGGTTGCTAGGAATTGAACTCAGGACCTCTGGAAGAGCAGCCAGGTGCTTTTAAACATTGGGCCATCTCATCTCTTCAGCACCCCCTTGTACATTTTTAAAGGACCTGATTACATACTGAAATTTTTGTTTCTTTTGGCCTTCTGTTCTTTCAGGTAGCCTGCACTACTAAGACAGCCAGCTCAAATCCCAGGCTTCCATGCCCTGGGGGTTCAAAAAATGTGACACAGCATCTGCAGTCTGAGGGTGGTCTCCTGAGTCAAAATCTGGAGCTTTCCTTCCTCTGGTGACTATCTTGTAAAAGCTGACAGGCCTTTGTTTAGAATTGAGCTCAAGCACTAGGTCACAAAAGAATTGACCAAAATTGGAGTCCAAGAGATGGCTCAGCATGTAAAAGCACATTGCCACTAATCCTCACACAACCTAAGTTCAATCCTTGGTACTGGTCTGGTCTAATGGGAGAACTGCAAACTGTCTTCTGGATATGTGAGCATATGTATGCTCACACAAAACAGACTGTTGTAAACATAAAAGTGGAGGAGCTTTTCCTGGTAAAGTTACTAACCCAGTCAGTTATTTGGCTGACTGTAAGAAATCAGGTAAAAACCAGTCCAATCCAAACAGGCCAGTCTCCCTCTGTCTTAATTGAAACAAAGAAAGCAATCTCAGGGCTAGAGAGATGGCTTAGCAGTTGAGAGCACTGGCTGCCCTTCCAGAGGACCCAGGTTCAAGTCCCAGCATCCACATGGTAACTCACAATTTTAGCTCCAATCTCAGGGGCCCCTCTTGTGGCCTCCATGGGCCCCAGGCATATACAAGAACACAGACATAACATGTCTGAAGGTAGCCTCTTAAAAATATGGTGCCTTGTTATGTTGCCCAGGGGAGCCCAGAGTCACCAGGTCTACAGGAATATGCCTTTGTGCCCTGATAGTCTCAAATTGTATTGGTGTCTCAGTCAGCGCAGGTGCTGTTCTCCCTACTTGACGGGTCTGCTAATGGTGTTTTGTCGCTTTTAATTCTACAAGTGAATGACTTGCCCAGGACCAATTTTGCATTAGTTTTCTAGCTGACAAGAGGGTAGGCCTAGGGAAATGGCACAGCAGGTAAAAGCTTTTGTTGCACAAGCATGGCATCAGGAGTTTGATCCTGGGACCCATGGTGGAAGAAAAGAACCGACTCCCAAAATTTTACTGACCTCCACTCATGAGCCGTGCACATGTATACATGCACTCATGTCATATACACACAATACTTTTTCAAGGAAAGGATGAACATAGAGTTCCAGTGCATATGATATGAATTTAGGGATTTGATTCTGCATGGATGATTTGTCTCCACCAAGCACTGTGCATCCAAACGAAGAAAAAATGATATCTGACCCCCAACCCAAATTATTTTCCTAGAGCTGTGTAGTCCAGTGAGGGTAGTTGCCACAGGCCTGATTCCTGGTTCCCAAAGACCAGGAAGAGTCCTCAGAGTGGCTCAGGTGAGCTTGTTACTCATACCTGTAATCCCAGCCACTTGGGAGACAGAATTACATTAGTGAAACTTAATATGACATTTAAAGGGGAGGAGGCCTTGTGATGTAGCTTGGTCATAGAGAGCTTTGTGACTTTTGGGGGGCCGTGTCCTAAGTCCCTTCAGGATGCTGACAGCTTGAGGACTACTTCAGAAGGACAGTTCAGGGAAAGAACTATGCATCTTCAAGCAGCCAGCCCCAGTCATACATGGGTAGTTCTGTGGAGTTATTGCTGTCACCTCAGAAATCAATGAGTGGGCAATTAGGTTCTGGCATAAGATGGCTAACCTTTGGGCTAACAGTTCCTGAAACTCAAGAAGCTTAGGAGAAAAGACTTAGAACAAGCCAGAGGGAAAAGGAGGCAGTTGGAATGACTGCGCCCTCCAGCATGGGAAGTGAAGGACAAATTCAGAGGAGCCCCCATTGTGAAGTGAGTGGTTTCCCCATGTAGCCCCAGCTGTCCTGGAACTTACTCTGTAGACCAGGCTGGCCTCAAACTCACAGTGATACACCTGGTGCTATCTGAGTGCTGAGATTAAAGGCATGCACCACCACTGCCTGGGCCAGTGTCTGGTTGTTAGGACAATTCAGTTCCAAGTCCACAACACCTCCAGGGCTCTTGTCCAATCTACAGCCAACGTGAATGATAAAACCCAAGACTGGCAGCTGGTCCCTGCCCTACCCCAAAAACTATCTCCAAGACAAGAGGAATGCCAGGGCCAACTTCCTTCCCCCTGTGCTGCTCCTGACGACTTCCTCTAACAGGATCAGTAAATTTACTTCCCATCCTTGTGTGTTTGTTTGCTTTTAGTTTATGTGTATGAATGTTCTGCTTAAATGTATGTAAGGTATTTATGTATGCATGTGCACCATGCCTTGTGACTTCAGAGGTGAGATGACATCAGATCCTTTGGAACTGAAGTTACAGATATTTGAGTACATATCAAACCTAGGTCCTAAGCAAGAGCAACAAGAGCTCTAAACCACTGAGACACCTCTCCAAGCCCTGTGGTGTATCTTTATGCAGCCCTTTTGGGTATCTGTGTTGGAATGGTTCCCAATTTGCCTGTCTGTCTTGTCGGTGGAAGCAGAGATGTTTTCACACACAAAGGGCAAACAAAATCCTGCTATACTGAGATCCTTGGGCTACTGAATCAGTAACTTACACTCTGATAGAAACAGGAAGTATGGGCTGCTTCCAAAGAGCAGTTTCCTCCATACTTCTGTATGCCAGCACCATCTGGGCCCACTCTTGGGAAGGGAGTGGAATATGAAGCAAGTATTGGACTTTCTCACTCCTAAAAACAGGCTGGTCCTGTAAACTGAGCATAGGGCCAGAGCTGTCTTATCACATCAGCTTGGAAGGGGTCTTCCATCCCTAAAGGTGTTAGAATGAACTGAACAAGTCAGGTATTAAAACCACTAGATACTTAAATGGCAAAAAAAAAAAAAAATAGCAACTGAATTCTATATGAGCTGTTTCTGGGTCCCACCTGCTCAAATTCCGTGCATCTGTTTGAATCACTAAAAGATGGATTTGTAATTGAGAAACCATGTGTTCAAATAGGTATACCACTAACCATTTTGGATTCTTAAATTAGCAAAGTCTGGATAGAGATTAAACTGAGAGATGTGTGTGTGTTGGTGTGTATAAAGAGGCATTAATGGTTATGGCAACCTCCATCCTTTTTCTGACTAATCTTTTCTCTAAAAACAAAATGGGATTAAAACCGTTGAGACAAGGCAGAACGCACGTAAAAAGTTAAAATCTACATAAATTTAAACTAAATCATAGCAATTGGGAGAACTTACCTTTTAAATAAACTATTTTTTCATCTGGACTAAGAGTCTGAAGATTTAGCTGATGGCTACCACCTAGGAGCCAGATAGACCTGTTCCCTTTTCTGCAAAATAAGGGAATAAAATTAAGAATGTGTAAGAAGGAACTGAGGTAGGGAAGAGTTGACTTCTTTCACATGGATTAGTCAATCAGAAGACACTAGTACCCACTCTGCTAGGTACTGGGGATACTAAAAACTGGTGGGGTTTCTTCCACCTAGAGCGTGAGGTCGCTTAAACTCCTGAGTCAAGTCTCTGATGTTGTCATGTCAGAGTAGGATAAGCACCAGTAAAAGTCTGGTAGAGACATCAGTTAAGGAAATGGAAGCCACAGAGGAACAATGATTTGCTCTAATCAATACAAAAGGAACCATTATCGAACTCTAAAATACGGCATGATAGTCTCCCAATGTTGAAATGGAAGCCGAGGAGGTACAGTGATGTTCCAGGTCACATCATCAGCCAGTGGCCAAGGGTCACCCAGAAGCTGGTGCGCCTCGAGTTCTTCATGCCAGGCAAGCCCAAGGCAGCTGGCCTTCCTTGCTCTCATCTGTGCGCGCTTTTCACCTGTCCTAGGACAGTTTCCCGAAACTCCCGAAGTCCCCTTCTCCAAATGTGGAACCCGAGTGTCTGCAGGGGTGAGCCTTGCCTAGTACAGACCACTCAGCTGGAGGTCCTCAGCCTGGCTGCTTCTCCCTACTCCGTGATTCCGAGGATAGTCTTAGAATCCCCACCCACTTCTCCAGCACAGCCAGCGGGTTCCTGGGGAAAAGGCCTTTAAACCTGCACCCCCAGGGCTCCGACCGAAGGCAAAGACGGCCACCTGGGCCCCTGGCCGCGCAGACCCTCCGGCTAAGGAGCCCGGCGTCGCGCTCTGCAGGGAAGGGGTCCGCCCCCCTCCCCGCCCCCGTGTGCGCAGGCGCGCGCCGCGCCGGGCTCCCACAGTGGCTGGGTGCGGGCGGCACCCGCTAGTCTTACAGGTAAGCATGGTCGTGGGCTCCGGCTGGGTGCTCCCAGGACGTCACACCTTAGTCCCGGGAGGCACAGCGAGCGCTGGGGTCCTGCGGGCGCCGCCCCAGGTCCTTCCCCAGCGCCGGTCGCACCGGCTGCGGGCTGGGGTGGTGGGCTTCTCAGACCAGGGCCGGGCGTTGCAGGTGGGGACTGCGGGATGCCGGATGCCGGACGAGCGACCCTACGGGCGCTGATCTCTGCATCCAGAGCCGCGGGGAGGGCAGAGGCTCGGCCTGCCAGAGAGATGCAATCATTTAAGAGTTTTCGTTAATGAGAGGGTGTGGAGGGCGAGTTTGGGGTTTACATAGGCCATTTGGCAAACTTTCCGCCGCCATCGATTTTCAATATTTTTTGGCAGAAAATAGGATTTAAAAAAAATTTGGCTATAAAGCTGGGGGAAAATAAATCTTAAAAAATTCCGCCATTTTAAAAAAGTAACCCTTCTGCAGAGCGGACGGATCAGTGACCGCCCCGCCCGCAACAGCCTGCCTTAGTCCAGGGAGGCGGGTGGCGGGTGGCCGGTGGCGGGTTTGAACACTCCAGCCGAGAAGGGCCGCTTCCACCCGCTGGCTGCGGCAGGGACGAGCTGGAAGACCTTCCAAGTTTGTTGTGTGCCCCCTAGCGCTAGCTCCTCTCTCTCCAGTGCTTACCACCAGGGCATTTATTGTGTGTTTGCTGTATACAGGGCCTCAAAGGACTCAGGGTAGAGTGTGTGTGTAAAGCTTGACCGCATGAAGCAGCAGCATGGACACATTAAAAAATTATCTATTGAGCATCTGCTATGTGCAACCACTCTTTTAAGTGGTTTTAAGTAGGATTCCCCTGGAAACACAGATTAGGTTTATGAGAGTAGCCTTGTGAAACCAGCAAGCCTGGGCAGAGACGGTGAGATGCTGTCTAGTCTCAACAGAGGCCTCAGCCTGTGGAGCAGGAAGCCCTGAACCTGAGGTGGCCCTGCAGAGACACCTGAAATGAAGGTAAAGGCGTGGGGCCTTTCTAGCCCTCTATAAACTAATCATCCATGGCTAGGTAGAGACACACTTGAGTGAGATACTTCCCCTGGTGTATCAAGTTCGGGTGTACCAAGGCTCCACTTTTTCCTGCACTCCCTTCTCTGTCTTACATTCCATCTGGGCACACCGTCTTTCAAATCTGACCCCCTCTCCAACCCCATCCTTTACCTTTAAACTACAAGCCTCACGAGAGCCCTTTGCCTTGGTGGCACCTGTGTCCACCAAGAGCACAAAGCAGTGTTGCCGATTCATTGGTTCTCCAGGGCTTGCTGAGACCAGACAGCAAGCCCGATCAGAAAGGCTACCTTCAGCTTCTTCTCTGAGACGCCTGCCACATGTGACTGCTTTCTGAAACAGAGTTCTTTGAATAAGCAGCCACTCTTCCTGATCCTCAGTATTTTAAACAAAAGGTCTATTCTATTTAAACCGATTAAAAGAAATGAAAATGCGGGGGTGGAGAGATGGCTCAGGGTTTAGAGAACCTGTTGCTACTGTGGACCACTCAGGTTCAGTTCCCAGCGCCTACATGGTAGCCGTCTCGGGGAGAAATCCGAAGCCCTCTGGTGCCCGCATCAGTTACTGCATGCCCGTGTTGCAGAGCCGTACATGCGGGCAAAATACACATAAGTAAACATTTCTAAGTGGTGCAAACGTGTGTCATCTGTGAGAAGCAAAGTAATTGGAACTGAAACTTGCCTCCAAATTTCCGGATTATAAGTTTTAAAAAGCTTGTTTTGTTAATCAGGTCATATATCTGACCTTGTCTACCTGTTTATACCAGAGCTTTATGCTTCTAATGATGGACATCTATAATATATTCTGTGTTTTAGGGAGGAAAATCTGGGAAATAAGTGAACACACAAGAACAGCTCGAGGGAGGGAGGGCACAAGACAGCAGCTATTGCAACCTGATTTTGCAAGTAGGCAGGGTTCATGGTTCATGTTACTGGCTGAAAGTGGCCAGGCTCCCTGGAGTTTCTGTCTAAAGGAAGACAGGAAGGATTGCTTTTTGGTAAAGGCCTGCTGGTATCAATACTTCACTGACAACATTCACCAAAGGTAGGTGCCATTACTACTTTATTTCTATTTTTACACTTAAGGAAACTGAGGCTCAGAGTGGGAAAGCTACTTCTCTGGAATCACAGTGTTAAGTAAAAATGGAGACGCTCAGAGTCCAGCTCAAGACTGTCCTGAGCTAAGCCTCATGTTCCTTCCTTGTCATATATGCCAGACACCATCGCCAAGTGCTGCTCTGAAGCAGCTGAGTAGCAATCATGCACAGAGCACCGTCCTTTCTCTTCTCCATCCCCCAGCCTCTGCTGGATTTGAGCACAGGATTCATGCAAACTAGGCAAGTGCTTTGCCAATAAGCTACACCCAGCTTGTGAACCTTGCGATGACTAGGTTTTCAGGTGCTACCCTTTTGCTGTTCAGGTACGTGACCCTCTTTCATCTAACCATCCATGGCTCTTCCTGGGGTTGGAGGGAGTGGTGCAAAGGAAACACAAAAGAACAAAAGCAGGAAGATGTCACCCTCCACAAGGACCAACCCTATTTGGATAGAGTTGAAGGTGGTACCTGAAGACTCTTGAGTTCTCAAAGAAAAGGAATGGCAGTTGGGGATCAAGGAAGACGTGAATTTGAACTTAGCCTGGGCTCTGCCACTGGCTGAAACAGGACCTTGGCCCGAGTCATACTTCTATGAGCCATCTCTGTACACACAGTGGGCACCGTGTTAGCGGTACCGTCATACGTGCAATTGTGTGCATCCTCACAAATAAAGGGCAGGGAAGATGCAGGGCCTGGCCAGAGTTCTGTCAGTAACCTGGGTAATTGCCAGGAATCTCACCGAATGCTGGTGTTCTAAAACACTATTCTCAGAGAGGAGACTTCTCTCTTCAAGGTTCTCCTTCAAGAAGCCCCTTCCCTCCACATGCTCATCACCCTGGTGGCTGTGTTTGGCTTGTAGACCCATTTGGATGGAGGGGTACAGTGACATGGAGATACTAAGGACACTGAAAGGGCCTTCCGCAGGGGAAGTCAATGTGCACCTGGTGGCCAGAGACAGCCCAGCTTCCCGTCCTCACCTGCCTGCAACTGCCTTCATTATTCCTAGTAAGTCAAGGCCAGGGGTCTGGAGGTCCCATACTTGCTTAAGAAGGTGTAGATATTGGGAAAGTGTGATGCTTTTCGCCCCTTTTGTTATTGTTTTTTGAGAAAGGGTTTCACTGTGTAGTCCTGGCTGTCAGAACTTGTTTTGTAGACTAGGGTGGCCCCAGACTCAGAGATTCCTCCCAAGTGTGCCTCCTGAGAGCTGGGATTAAAGGCATGTGCCACCATGCCCAGCCACTATTCAGTCTTCTATAGCTGTTTTTCCGCGCCTGCGTGGCAGGAGTGAGGCAGGGTCACCAGGCACATCTGTGCCTATCTTATCTGTGTGTTTCTAGCCAATGCAGCTACCCTTGGTCTGCCCAGCACTGCCCTGAATGTGTCGTACTCCCGTGAGCCAATCCACGTGGGCGCCCTGGAGCGGGTGGCTGGCGGCGAACCAGTCACAGCCACCATTTTGCCGCAGCTAAGCACCGGACCGGGGACCAATAGCACAGTCAGGCTTCTGGACTGGACAGGGGTTTCCCCATCTCCAGCTGGGAGTGGCCTGCGGGTCAGTCTTCATGAGGACTGGCAGGTGCGGGGCGGGGCCTGTAGGCTCGAAGGCGGGGCTTGAGACTGACTTCCTGGGACTTATATATGTAGGTGATGGGGGCGTGGTCGGGGGAGGGGTTCTGAGGCAGGGGCGGAGTCTAGAGGACTACAGTGTTAGTGTGGATGACCCAAGGTGAGTGTGGAGAGCTGGTATAGAAGCCACAATCCACAGAATTTTCTGTATACCAGTTCCGGATAAGCGAGTACGCACCACTCAACATGATAGGACTGGAGCGACCACAGAGCCCGGAGCGCCGGCAAGAAGGCCTGGTCCAACATGAAGGTGGCCCGGTTGGAGGTGACGCGGGCACCCAGGACCCAGGTAGGGTCCTACTCCCAGGGGCAATGCGTGGGTGCATACGGCTTGGATGGGAACGTCACCGGAAGTGGTCTTAAGTAGAGGATGCTGTCCAGTAGGGGATGGGCTATAGGAGATGTGGGCGGAGCCTACGTGTGGCTGTCCAGGGCTGGAAACACTGAAGCCCAGCTGGCTCCCACAGATGTCCACCAGGACCCTCAAGAAGTCACCTCTCAGGAACCCCCAGAAGACGCAAGTTCCTGCAACTGCCAGGCTTGTGGGCCTCAGCAAAACATTGGCCCAGATCTTGGTTCTTCAGGCGACCATTGCACTCAACCTTTCCAGAAGCAGTAAGAATGAAGGGTTACGACCTTTCCTGAATTTTTTTTTTTTTTAACCCTTAAAGCATCTTTCCAGTTCTGGGCTTAAGGGAATGTGGATAACCCTGGGTGCTGCTGAATGTATGAGGTTTTTCTCTCTCTGATGAGACCATTCCTTTTGTAGGTCAGTCATTGTGGAGAACTCAAGCTGTACCGTCGCTTCTGAACTCCTAAAACCCATGAAAAAGAGGAAACATAAGGAGTACCAGAGCCCATCAGAGGAGTCAGAGCCGGAGGCCATGGTAAAAAGAGGGCCCCACGGAGAGAAATGTGAAACTGGAGCCTCAGTTTCATATTCTTGTCAATCCAAGATAGGGGACTGGGTCAAGAAGACTCCTGTTGCAACCTACTCTCATCTTTTCAGGTTCCTTCTTGAATAATAAGGTTGTAGACCTTATTAGAGGAAGGAAGGAAGGAAGGAAGGAAGGAAGGAAGGAAGGAAGGAAGGAAGGAAGGAAAGAAGGAGGGAGGGAGGGAGGGAGGGAGGGAGGGAGGGAAGGAAGGAAAGAAAGAAAGAAAGGAAGACACAAGGAAAAACTCACTTAGTATTTCACACAGGCTGGATTTGACTTATTCTGTAGGTGTGACTGGCCTTGAACCCTGTCCCTCTGCCTCTACCTCCTGAGGCAAACATATGTCACCACACTTGACCTATAAACTACTCTCCTGATTTTCTGTGGCTGCCATCACACCCTGATGTCAGGATTGAAACACACACAAGCGAATTGACACTCAGGGTGAATTGCAGCACTGGAAAATGTCATCTCTAGAGTCTAGTACCTACACGAGAGATCAGGAAATGCAGAGCTGAAGCTGTAGATGTATGAAGACTCTTGGGCAGGAGGAATCAACATAGAGCAGAAATATTCACGCACTCAGGTTCCCATCTGTGAATGACGATTGTATTCATGCAAATCTATGCCACCTCCCAGTGGCACAGACCCAAGCAATGGATTAACTGCACGAGAAGAGTTCCTGAACATACCCTAGAGAAAACTCTTAAAATTCCGGGCATTACATTGAACCTGAGAGCCAGGCAGGGGCCAGACATCAGAAGCCGAGCTTCTATCCCAACCCATGAGGACAGGAAGCTGGAATCAGGCTTTCTATTCTTTTTTTTTTTTGCAGAAGCAAGAAGAAAGAAAAGATGCAGAGAGAGAGCCAACCGCCAGCACCCCAGAGAGTGAAGAGTGGGGCAGAAGCCAGCCGGGTATGATGGCCTGTGTATATTTGTTTACGGGAAGTGTTTATTTGCTTTTGGAGGAGTGAGACTGAACAGGTCAGTCTATATGAAAGACACAGTAAGACCCTTTGTAGTTTGTTCATGACTATATGTTTCTTCTGGGGTTGTTTATCTCGCATTATGCCGCTGTGAGGCAGCCCTAATTAGAAAGTCTGGGCTCAGTATCTGTAGACTTGAGGAGCCATATTGCATTACTTCCATTTGGTGTTGTTGGTAAGCCCACACTGGTCCTTAGCCTGGCCTTCCTATTTAGGCCCCTTGCCTGGATTTTTGTTTCTAAAAGATCCTTCATGGTGAGTTTTTGCCCTCAGACCTGCTGCTAGTATTTCTGTTTGTACAGCTGCCAAGCAGAGAAATAGAGATACTATTTATGTTTACTTACGGTAAACCCAAGCAGAGCTTCCCATACTAGTCAGCACCTGTGTAGCAATTTGTTAAGTCTTCCTCCCTCAACACTTAAACTCTGTGAACACAGGGCCTGGATTTGTTTGCCTATTCATTCAGAGTTTAATTACACTGGGGGTAGGTAGGCATGCTTGCCTCGGAGCCAGTCTCCTGGAGCCAGTTCTCCCCCTTCCACCACAGGGGTCATGGGGAATCAGTGATTGCTCATCAGGCGCGGCAGCAAGTGCTTTTATGCTGAGCCACCTTGCCATCCCGGGGCTGGTGCTGGCAAGAGGTATGGTGGCCTGAGATGACTGTGTCTTGGCGGCTCAGCCCAGAGCGTTCTGAATGCTTTTTCGGTAGGTGAATTGACGGCTCGTGTTGGCGACTGTGCTTGCCCCTCGAGTTAATGATGGTGACAGGTGGGGCTTGCTGTCATACTCCGTAAGTCCCAGCACTTGTGAGGCAGAGGCAAGGGCATCTCTGGAAATCTGTAGGTCGTCCTGGTCTATATATTAAGGTCCAGGCCAACTGTCTTAGTTACTGTTCTATTGCTGGGAAGAGGCACCGTGAAACACTTACAAGGAAACACTTACAAAAGAAAGCATTTAATTGTAGGACTGGCTTACATTTCAGAGGTTAGTTCATTATCACCATGGTGAGGTACCTCAGAAGGAGAGGGAGAGGAAGAAGAAGAGGGAGAGACAGACAAACAGAGAGAGAAGGAGAGAAAACTGGGCCTATCCTGGGCCTTTGAAACCTTAAATCACACCCCTAGAGACACACTTCCCCCAACAAAGCCACACCTACTCCAACAAGGCCATGCCTCCTATCCTTGTAATCTTTCAAACAGTTCCCCTCTTAGGCATTCAAATATATGAGCCTTTTGGGGGCCATTTTTAGTCAAACTACCACACCAACCAAAGCTACATGGTGAGGCCCAGTCTCCAAACAGCAACAGAACAAAGACAATGATACAGGCTAGAGAGATGACTCAGCAATTCAAGAGTATTCCAGAAAACCTGGGTTTAAGTCCCAACACGCAACATGACGACTCACAACCATCTAACTCCAGTTCAGAGGATCCAGCACCCACTTCTGGTCTCTGCAGGCATCAAGCATGCACATGATACACAGACATACGAGCAGGCAAAAATACCCAAACACATGAAATTTTTTAACTGTATTCATAGAAAAAATGATGATCCTTGAGAACCTCATTCCACAGTGCTGGGCATAAGTGCAGAGATATCCAAGCATCTCAGATTTGAAGAAAGACCACGCCAATCTCTCATTCCATACCTATCCATATTACATCCAGATCTGTCTAGATCTGGTATCTGGTGGCACTCCAAGATCGAGTGGTCATAGCCTTTTTCAGATTCAGAGCATCTTTCACTATTTCTTTTTTTTCTCTCTCTCCATCTCGGTTTTTTAAGACAGGGTTTCTCTTGGCTGCTCTGGACATGCTTTGTAGACCAAACTGGCCTCAAACTCACAGAGATTGACCTGCCTCTGCCTCCTGGAGTGCTGGGGTTACAGGCATGTTCCACCATGTCCGGCTTTTATTTCTTTATTGTTACTTTATTTTTTTTTTTTTTAATATTTTACGTTGCTGAGGATGAAATCCATGGGCTTGTGTGTGCTGGCCAAATGATTTGCCCCTGGCTACCCAGACATATACTTATACTTGTTTTAGACAAATACAATTGGCTTAGTTATCTTCTACCCTAAATTTCTAACCTATTAGCTTTTGTTTTTATTTTGAGGTTTTAGTACAGAATCTCTGCACTCAGAGATTGACCCAAGACTGGTGATTTTTTTGCCTTAGTTTCCTAAATGCTGGGGTTACACACCTGTGCTCCTGTATGCAGCACCAATAATTCTTCTTCTTTTTTTTTTATAGCTTGTTTTTTAAAGGTTTATTTGTTTTTATCTTATTGTGTGGCTTGCTTGCCTGCATGTGTGTTTATTCACCACGTGTGTGGAATGCTCACAGAGACTAAAAGAGGGCATTGGACCCCCTGGGACTGGAGTTATAGACGGTTGTGGGCTGCCAGGTAGCTGTGGAGAATCAAACCCAGATTCTCTGGAAGAGCAGCCAGTGCTATTAACCTCTGAGCCATCTTTCCAGCCCCCAGATACAGTCAGAGGTAAATACAGGTTTTTGTTTTTGTTTTTTTCTTGCCTTTTAAAAATGATGTCTTTTGAAAAAAAAAGTTTTGGGCTGGAGAGATGACTCAGATGTTAGGAGCACTGGTTGGCTGTCCTTCCAAAAGTCCTGAGTTCAATTCCCAGCAACCACATGGTGGCTCATAACCATCTATAAATGAGATCTGGTACCCCCTTCTGGCCTTCAGGCGTACATGCAGGCAGAACACTGTATACATAATAAATAAATCTTTTTTTAAAAAAAAGTTTTTAGTTGATTAAATCTAGTTTATCTTTTGGGAGGACTGTTGAGACAGGGTCTCTCCATGTCATCCTGGCTGTCCTACAGCTCACTATATAGACCAGGCTGGCCTGGAACTTACATAGATCCACCTGCCTCTGCCTCCCAAGTGCCGGGATTAAAGGTGTACACCACCATATCCAATTAGTTTATCATTTTAGTGGTTGGTGTTTTAGGCATAGATTTTTTTTTTTTTTTTACGAAGTATAGGGTTTTAACAGCTTTATTCAGAAACCTTATCTCAAAAAACAAAAACACCTCAATAAACCAGATTTGGGTGGTACATGCCTTATAATCTTAGTGCTTGGCTGAGGCAGGAGAACTATTTCTTTGAGGCCAACAGGATTATATTGTGAAACTCTGACTCAAAACAAAACAAACAAGCAAAAACAACAACCAAAAAGAAGGGCTGGGAGTGGAGGCACACATCTTTAACTCTAGTACCAGGGATGAGACTAAAAATTCACCCACCAGGGGGAAAGGATGCAGGAAACCAGAGGAGACCAGGGCCTGGTCCACAGAAGGAATCCAGGTATTGCCTAGAAGTAGGGAAGCCAGGCCTCTTTGCAGTGGATGATATTGAATACAAGATCCCTTTTCTCCTCTATAAAAGGGGCACTTGCTAGCTATTTCTGTCACCTCAAGGCACTGGGAGTTCTAAAAGAGACGATGTATACGAAATCCTGGAAGCATCTCTGGCACCAGACGTGCCATACAGGTGGCTCCACTAAACTGTAAAAGGAATAGTTAAGATAAAACAAGGTGGTACGTGACAGGAGACCTAAGGCTGAAGACCCATTAACATGTTGTGTCTGGCAAGAGCATGAAGATAGCACTAGTGGAGGCTGTAGAGATGGCTCAGTGAATAAGAGCACTGGCCATAAACCGGGCAGTGGGGGCATCCATCTTTAATCCCTGCAGCTAGGAGGCAGAGGCAGATGGATCTCTGAGTTCCAGGACAGACAAGGCTACACAGGGAAACCCTGTCTTGAAAACAAACAAACAAAAAGCAGCAGAAGAAGCACTAGCAGCTCTTCCAGAGACTGGCGGTTCAGTTTCCAGCATCCACCATTTGTGACTCCAGTTCCGGGCTTCCATGGGCACCGCATACACGTGGTGTGCAGACAGACATGCATACACATTGAAAAAAAAATTTCTGGTGCAGGGAAGGAAGTGGTGTGAAGGTGAGCTGGTGGTATAAGAGCTGCCAGATCAATAAGGTGGCTGTGAGAAGTGTCCGCCATGGCATGGCCCAGGGCTCTTTTAGCTTGGTTATATTGGAGGAAAGGGAAGTGAACTCAGGACTGAAGTGCCTAGGAGCACCAGAGGTGCCTGAGGTGAGAATGCTGGCAAGTACTCAGCCACCGACTGAGCGTGTGCCACACAGTTCAGGGAAGGTAAGGCAAACAGCGTGTTATCTAGGGAGAAAGACCCGGGTATTGGGAAGGGCTCGGGCATAGCAGCGGTGACCTGGATAAAATAAAGAATCAGACAGAGTGGCCTGGCATCCCAGTGGCAAACAAAACAAACAAACAAATTCAGCACCAACCTGATTAGCCTGGCATCCTGGGCTCTGACTTTGTTTCTTCTTGTCCCTGCTCAGTGAGTATAGATGAAGCTGTGTAGAGAGCTAGGTGTCCTGGAGGAACATAGTAGGGGCCTTACTCAAAGGATGTCCTGAAGAGATGTGCAATAAATTTGGCATTGGCATCAATCTTTGAGAGAGTTTGATAGCTCGATTGATCAGTTGATGTACAAAATACTTGCCTTAGCCCAGTTGAGTCAGGTCATCAGGAGCTCAAGGTTTGGTGCCGTGACTAAAGGGGTTTAAGCAGCTGGAGAACAAATCACCATGAGTTTGAATGACACACACCCCCCACCCCCACCCTGCCACCAAGGCCGAGTAAACCAGAGTAAGGAAGAGCTGGATCAGTCAGTCTTGGGCAAGATCAGGAAGGATGGGTATTGGTATTTCATAAGGACCTCTTCTAGACTATGTGTTATAAAATCCTCACACGCTCTCTATGGTTGGTAACACCCCAAAGCCGAGTCAATTTCCTGAAGAAGTTAGAACTGTTTTTTATGTGTTGGTGGGTCTCTGATTGTCTGTGGCCTTCAGTGGAAGGCAGTTCAGCTGAACTGGTTAGCTTACCTTCTGGGTCACTGGCTGTCAGAGCCTTTAAAGAGTTCTGTGCATGGAGGCCAGGAATCCACCAGCAGGAATCCCCTGTCCTTCCCCTAGGACTCTTAAGACTATGGGGTATGAACAGGACCTGAACTGTAGACTCTGAAATACATAATAGATGCATAGTTGTGTGTGCACGTGTGCATGTATGTTTGCACACACTCGTGTCCATGAATGCATGTGCTCATCACACACCTGTGTGCCTACACTCAGCATGTACATGTCAGGAAATACTGTGGAATTGGCCACATATTGAGGCACACCAGGCTCATGCCTACGTTTGTATGTCCATACCTGTAAGTACCTAAGAGAACAACGTTTAGAGGAGTTTCTAATTTCTGTGTGCTCACTCCTCCACTTCTTCTCCCCGTTCTCCCTCCTCCTTCTCTATTTCCTTCTCTTCTCTTCATGAGCTTAGATAGCACTGTGATTAAGTCCTATGGCCGGGGCCTAATCACTAATCCTCACCCTGTACATTTCCAAGGAGAGAGTGGCTGAGACTTTGTGAGCTTGGTTGCTGTGTAATCCAAAGGGCTTCTGGTGGCCTGGGGGTGGAGGAGAAACAAACAGATTCTGGTGACCTCACCTGAGGTCTGAGGCCCCTGTGTCATAGCTGAGTGGGGCAAGAGGTACAGGTGAACAGTCAGAGGTTTACTGGAGCCCAATCAGGGAAAAGGAAGAAGCTCCATGCCTCAGGAGCAGCCCGGGAGCCACCCTGTTTGTCTTGTCTCCTCAGTGTCCAGCGAGAAGAAGGAGGGCTGGTCCTGGGAGTCCTACCTGGAGGAGCAGAAGGCCATCAGTGCCCCAGTCAGCCTCTTCCATGACGTGAGTTGGGCAGCTTCAGCCTAAGGAGAGTTTATCTTCTCAGGTCAGGGATTCACCACCAAGTGCAGGCCTTCTTGTGCTTTCTGCTGAACAATCCTTGATGCACTAGCAGAATGAAGTCCAGAGTTGAAAAGGGTGTACTGCAAGGGACTTCCTGCATGGGAGGAAATAGGGAGGTGGCCTCCAAGCTCACTCCTCACTTGCTGACTTGTGGATTCTAGTACCTTTTACCCAGTTCAACATATCATCACCGTGAGGTAGATGAGAGAGCCCTTAAGTCTAACCCTGATCCAGCTCTTCAGAATAGTCCTGCAGCTCTCACCTTCTGGGGACCCCACGGGACTCATCCCCAATAAGTCAGCCTTGAGGCCAGCAGGCAGATGGGGCCTAAAGACAGTTGCTTCACCCAAAGCCCACTAGGCAAGGATAAGGCTGGATGGAAGCTGGGTCCTCTCCACTCTGTGCGTTGACAGTCCCAGGCAGTCACCCACAACAAGAATGGCTTCAAACTGGGCATGAAGCTGGAAGGCATTGACCCCCAACACCCGTCCATGTACTTCATCCTCACTGTGGCTGAGGTGAGCTGGACACACCCGCCCGATGTTTCAATGTTAAGTGATGGAGCCGTGGGGACGCGGAGGGTGGGAGGGAGGCACTGCCCTGCCTGGGGAAGCCTGGACATACAGGGGGATCCACTGGAATATAGGGAAAGCTGAGGGCAAATACCGGAAAGAAGATGAGAAGCAGCGGAACACTGGCATTACCGAATAGTGACCCTAGCAGAGTACAGTGAGGAGGTGGCAGAAGGAAACACCCCGAGGCACAGAGCAATCTGTAGCAGTTTCCACATCCTGTCTGGGGTTTAGGAGGACAAGAAGCTACATTCCGGTCTACCCACCTTGCCCTTAGCTCTCAGGGAACCTGCTAGCACTGGACCCCTAAGATGCAGGCTGGAGCAGGAGTGGTGAAGAGGCGGAAGGTGGCATCTGCTGGCATTGACGTGCCTCTGATTCTCTTCATGGCCAGGTGTGTGGCTACCGCCTGCGCCTGCACTTTGATGGGTATGCTGAGTGCCATGACTTCTGGGTCAATGCCAACTCCCCTGACATTCATCCTGCTGGCTGGTGCGAGAAGACAGGACACAAGCTGCAGCCTCCCAAAGGTAAGATCTCCCTAGGTTAGTCCCTGGAAGGCAGTGAGTCCCGAGACCCATCTCTTCCTCCCTCAGGTCACCCTGCATCCCACATGGTTTTTGTTGTTGCTGCTGCTGCTGTTGCTATTGTTTTGTGTTTCAATCCTGAACTCGAGTCAGTCTCTCCATCCCATTCTGATACAAACTCCACTCTGAGGCTTCTAAACCCTTCACATGTTTACCAGGTCCTGTCTTCCTTTAGCAGAGGGTCCCTGAGGGTTTTGGGGACCTTCGACCTGTCTGTTTCTACGTCATTATTGGGGCCCTCACCATGGCCCAGCCTCTGCACGGCGCTCTGTTCATTCCCCCCTGAGGGGCCCAGGTTACAAGGAAGAGGAGTTCAGCTGGAGCCAGTACCTGCGCAGTACAAGAGCTCAGGCAGCCCCCAAGCACCTGTTTGTAAGCCAGAGCCACGTGAGTATCTGAGTAAAAGTGAACAATCATCTCTGAGGCCAAAATCACTGCAGCCAGCCCAGGGGACCCGACTCAGCAACTCCTCTGTTGCTCTCAGCTCTGTTCGGGTGTCTTCTGGTTCTAGAGGCATGTCTGGGGAAAGGCCGAAAGCCACAAGGTGTGTGTGTGTGTGTGTGTGTGTGTGTGTGTGTGTGTGTGTGTGTGTGTGT